GTGAAGAAGTAACAGTGAAATAAACACAGTGTAAGTTTGTTATAGGTTTAAGTGAAATACCTGGCAAGCAGGTAAATGCACTAGCATTGGAGGAAATCTTCATCTCTATCTTAAGTTTATCGTCAATGATAGGCGACAAATTTTGGGAGTAAAATCTCCGAAAAATATATATTTAAGAGGTGTTTGCCTTTACATGATGTTAGAAATAAAGCTTTAAATGAATGTGCCTCATGCCTTTTTCTTTGGGCTTTGAAATATAACAAATACGTCACAGTCAGGATTTTAGTGCATTTTTTAGCTTTTCCATTTGGGCCTTTTAAGGTCCTGAAACACATTAGTACTATTAAGGCAGCTGTGACTTGGACCAGATCTCTTCTAGCCTGCACAAGCTGCTGTTAGTCAGGAGATAAAAATCACAAAGAGCATGTTTTTGAAAAGCTTTGAGATACAGTCACTGCTGCTGTTCTCAAAAAAGGCTTTGTCAGCATGCTTGTGACTAAAGTCATGAATTAATTTGTCCCCAACTGAGTCACACCAGTAAATAAAGAAAAGAATAAGACATCTATGCTCTACAGTGCAGACTCCCTCAATGGTGTCACCCAAACTGTGTTTTTTTTTTTTTACCTTTTATGGCCTTTTTGGTGACTTAAGTCTCAGCATATAAACAGTGCAAGCTTCAGGTGCATGTTTGTTTCAGTTCAAGAAGAAGCCACAATCCAGTTATTCTTGATGGATTTAGCAATCTGTGTAGCACCACAACTCCAGACATTGCTGCCCAGTTGTGCAGGGCGATTACTCAGATGTTGGGTAAAGACCATCGTTTAAGTCATTAGGAGCCGTATAATGTTGGAAGGAGGAAGATAAAAGGAATTAGTCATCATTTGCATGATTCCTTAGATAAAATGAATCATGTTATGAAAGCTAAGGTGAACGGACCTATTCAGCTTTAGATTGTCTTTTATGCATGTGTGTTTTTTTTCAGCAGGTTTGTAAATCTATTATCTATTTTTTTATTTTTTTTCTAAACTGCGAGGTCATCTGCTCTAGTTCGGCTGCTCGTTCCGCTGGCTTTGCTGTATCTTCGCTTGTCCTTATGCAGCAGCACGTCCGAGCCACCATTTTGGATCTGAACACAGCCGACGTCCCTGCTCTCGGGGGTATAGCAGTTAGCATCGGGTCTCAGGTATCTCCCATCTTGGATCTGACCGTCATTGGTCTTCTGCCATCCATGCGAATAGCAGCTCATTTGGAGGAAGTTTACCTCTTCCACTGCGGCTGCCATTTTGTTCTGCTCGGTAGCCA